TGTGTATAGTTTGGAGAGTGTGTTACTCCACGACACGTAGGCTTCATTAGGTCCATTGTGCATCCTCCTAAGATGATAGGCCACTTCTGCTCGTGAGCCAGCCTACAGATTTGATGTAGTTGACAACATCGGCAAGAGGTATTGCTCTTATATCGGCCGACATTAGCTAATCCTAGCTGAACACAATTCTTCTAATAAATGAGAGCAGTAGCGGCTGGTGCATAAGTGCTGTAGAGCTGCAGAACTACAAAAAAAATGAAAGAATATCATCTAATTTTCACAGAAATTATTAAGACATCTAAAATATACATTAAATAGATTGACATGAAATGTCCTTTTTAGTAACATTTCTGTAACACTTTTACTGCCTAGGCATTAAAAACTTACTTTTTCATCTTTTCTCTTTGGAAGTCTTACAGTACATTAGCATCCGGTCAAAAAAGTTAGTGAAATAAATTAACTACAAAGTTTGTATAAGAACTGAAGGTATATAGTTATAAAAATAACGATTAGAATAAATATTAAAAATGCGTGAGTTATATCCGTTATACTTTAAAAGAGGTTTTCATTTTAGTTCTATTTATTTAAACACACTGTATAAACAATCGGAGAAAAAATTATATGTTTCACACGGCATAGAAACAGATTTACTGTCGCGGCAGTAAATCTGTTACTTCTAGTAGTCCTGGTTGTTATATGTCTGTCAAAAATTTGGAAATTTGCGAGCAGGGAAACTTTCTGGTCAACAGTATTTTGATCAAAAATAAACAAATTCTACTTTAAAATTTACCTCTCCCTGTGGACATCTCCTCGTAACCAAGCCTCTTTACACTTACGTTTACTGCTAGCTTTGAAAGCAAGTTATGTATTCACCCACTAACCATCTTGATTAGTGAGTGTATTATCTTGGGGAATGTGGTCTTTTCAAAAGCACCTTCTGTGTCTATGAAAACAGCCGGCACGATAACTCTAGAACGAAAGTTCTGATTGACTTGTGGTTTTGATTTTCTTGAATAATTACTTCTAACTTAGAACCCTATTGATTTTCAGAATTTTCGGTTCATCCTAACTACTTTATAATCAATTTTCTTAAAATCCGCATATGCATTTCTTATGTTACAATTTTAGGAATTTCAATTATTTCTAAGTCAACATTCCGAACATTCTTAAAATTCCATAAATTGCAAACATTCTCTAACGACCTGTCAAACAACAGCTGTTGATAGTAAAGGTGGAATTTCTAAGGCGGGTTGCGACCTTCATACTTGCAATCATTTATTTATTTATTTATTTATTTATTTATTTATTTATTTATTTATTTATTTATTTATTTATTTATTTATTTATTTATTTATTTATTTATTTATTTATTTATTTATTTATTTATTTATTTATTTATTTATTTATTTATTTATTTATTTATTTATATATTTATTTATATTTATTTATATTTATTTATATTTATTTATATTTATTTATATTTATTTATATTTATTTATATTTATTTATATTTATTTATATTTATTTATATTTATTTATATTTATTTATATTTATTTATATTTATTTATATTTATTTATATTTATTTATATTTATTTATATTTATTTATATTTATTTATATTTATTTATATTTATTTATATTTATTTATATTTATTTATATTTATTTATATTTATTTATATTTATTTATATTTATTTATATTTATTTATATTTATTTATATTTATTTATATTTATTTATATTTATTTATATTTATTTATATTTATTTATATTTATTTATATTTATTTATATTTATTTATATTTATTTATATTTATTTATATTTATTTATATTTATTTATATTTATTTATATTTATTTATATTTATTTATATTTATTTATTTATTTACGGGCAAGCCCATTTTAGAAATAAATTACAATTTTAAAATTATAATTAAAATATAGTGAAATATATATGGTGCTGAAATACAATCGTGATATAATTCATAAAATAGGTTAAGAGTTTAAAAGATTTAAAAGACAAAAGACAATAAAGTTGAATAAAATATTTACATTAAACATTAAAAATTAAAGATCAAAAATTAAAAATTAAAGCTCAGCCTAAGTAATTGCTTTATAAATTTATGAAAGGGGGTGTTAAATATCTCAAGATCGTTATGAGTGTTGGCTAATCTTAACATTCTTGGAATACAGCTGCTAAAAGTATGATTCAAACGATAAAAATGTACATAAAATGTTTGTTGCTGTCGAGTTGAGCGCGTTGGAACATAAAGATTTATTTTAGTTAGAAGTTCAGTACAGCAGCATCTGCCATTGATAATTTTGAAAAGTAATGTCAGGTCTCTTTGTTTCCTCCTAGTTTCCAAAGAGGGGATGTTCTATCAAATCATACTCGCAAAGGACACCCAATTTATAGGCTATGTATCTAAGAAATTTATTTTGCACATTTTCTATGTTTCTGCTGTGCGTTATGTAATTTGGAGACCAGACAGAAGAGCAATAATCTAGGTGAGGTCGAACTAGTGAACAATAAAGGACTTTAATTGCAGTTGTTTCAGTAAAATCGTGTGTTAGCCTTTTGATAAAACCTAACATTTTCATGGATTTATGGATAGCCTTAGGTATGTGTTGATTGAAGCTTAAAGTGGGATCTAGAATAACTCCAAGGTCTTAAATTTGATTAACAGACTCCAAAATATGACCATTTAAGTTATAATCAAAAGTATTAGTTGGTACATGGGATCGATAAAAACGCATGACATGGCACTTTATAGCATTCAAATCCATGCCATTTAAGGAAAACCAGTTTGATAGATTATCAAGGTCAGACTGAAGACAGAGGGCATCATAAATGGTTTTAATAGTTAGGAAAACTTTTAAATCATCTGCAAACAATAGTGCTTTACTGAAAACAATGAATGATGTCATTTATAAATAAGTTGAATAATAAGGGACCAAGGTGTGATCCTTGAGGAACACCTGAGGTAACTTGAAATGAGTAAGAATAGTGATGGTTTATTCTAACCATTTGAGTTCTGTTCGTAAGATAACTACTAATCCATTGCAGTAAGACCCCATTTATGCCATATTTATCAAGCTTTTGAAGGTTATTTTTATTCGAAATTAGTAGCCAAGCCTGCCAATTTATGAAAAATATATAAGCAATTTCTTAAAAATGACTTTTTTATGGTGGTGCTAACTTAAGCGTACTACTATTTCGCCCCTAGCCACAAAAATACCTTCATCAAATTTATTGGCTCTCTTTCGCAACCCCATAGAATAATTAACCGGCCATTTTATTTGGCAAAAATCAGAATAATGCTTGGCTGTGCCTGTCAAGTATCAAGATGTCAACTGTGATGTGTGAATGGCTCTTAAATGTCAAATTATTTAAAAATGTATAATTCTTTTGATATATAAATAATTTGTAGTATATCTCAATTCAGGCTTTCCATAAATGTACAGCAAGATAGATAATATAATGTTCTTATACAAAGATAGGTTATAATGCTGGTTTTTTGTAGAAAATTTTTATTATACGATTTTGGATTACATATTCAACCAGCGAATTGTAAATAATAATTAGTAAACTTCTAGTCATAAATTTCCTCAATAAATAAAATTTAAAAATGAATCTTCTTACCTTGATACTGAGGTATTTTGTTGTGTTTTTTATTTTAATTATAAAGTTGTCATTTATTTGTATGTTGAAAGAAGGTCTTTGTAAATTACATTGCTCTCTATGGATCTACTTTAACACAAAAATAGTTTTGTGGCTATAAGTTGCTATAACCTATCGTCGCAAAACTATTAATAATTTAAACATAGTAAGTAGTATTATTATAACATCAAGTAATTTTTAAAATAAAGTACATGATCTCAAAATAGAAATAATTTATAATAAATGCAGGTAAAACGAGGGGTAAAATAACAATAAATGAAGGGAAATACTTAAAAAGGGCAGGTTTAAAAAGTATTATCACAAGAAAGTATATCCGTTCTGTTTATTTATCAAGTATTGTTTGAGGTTACTTTTGAATACATTTGTTTTTTTTTTTTTTATTTCTGTAGGCAGTCTATTAAATTTTTTTAAACCTTTAATAAAAATTGTATTTTGGGAACTTTCAGTGATGGCTTGCCATACATGAAAGTCAGATTGGCTTCTTGTAATTTAGTTGTGATATTTCGAATTATATTGAATTTTTTCTAATAGATCTGATGCGATGGTAATATGTCATTTTTATTTTATAAATAAATATCAGTCATGTACTGAACATAATTCTGAACTGAAAGCTAATTTATTTCTTTTAACATAGTTGCAATACCCATCCTTCTGTCCTTTATTAATATTATATAAATAGGCGAAGTAAAGAGCCCAAATATTTTACATGAGCAGGCTTAAGAGGTAAAGGGGCCAATTATTATGGGATAAATTTGTAAACCCTAATCAAAAGGCGATATAGAATGGTTTTAAAAATCAAGGCTTATGGAAATCATCACATGGTTTAACCTAATTAATGCCAATGCTTCACAAACCAAAAAATTCAACGTCCTAATACTACTATCGGCTTTCGGTCTTACGTTAAATCATTTCTCGTTTTTGTTACGCTACGAGTTTAGCCTTGTGGGCCTCAGTCTCGATAAGGTGGGAACCACCATTTTAGCGTCTCTCGAATTCGTGTTGATTTGGTTGAAATGGTGTTGATGTGGTCACCACATCTTATATACCTTACGCATAGCCAATGTCATCATGGAAAATTATGACGGGTTAATTGGCCGGTATGTTTTTGGGATAGTGTAGTTCATTCTTCCAGGTTTGGGTATGAATACCACTTTTACCTCTCTCAATTTTTTGTATACATATCTCAGAACCAGCGAGGATCTGAATGTGTACCATGTGTAATGTTTCTTTACTATTTGTGGCAAAATGTGTACTAGTACATTTTCCCAGTGGTTTACTCCTCGAAGTTGTGCATATAATTTTTACTGAAAATATGAAAATGAAAATTATTCAACGCATTGGGTGCCGCGATTTCTCACACCGGAGCAAAACCTGAATCGTTTGAGTGTTTCACGCGACCTTTTGGCACGTTTTCGTCAAAATCCAAATGACATTTTGCACTGTTTCATAACCGTCAACGGAATTTGGGTTCGTCATGTCATTATACTCCAGAAACCAAAGAACAATCCTAACAACGGAATGGACACGCCAAAGAAAGGATAAAAAGGTTTTGTCAGTAGTAAAGATTATGGCAACTATGGTTTGGGATTCTCATGGTGTTATCTTGGTTGGCTACTTGAAAAGCGGAAAAACAATAAATGGTGAGTAATATGCCAATTTGTTGCAACAACTTAGAGACAAAATCGAAAAGAAAGGGCCTCATTTGATAAAGTGCTTTTCCATCAGGATAACGCACCTGCTCACAAGTTTGCGATTGTAATGGCCAAAATTCGTGAATTGAGAATTGAATTAGTGTCACATTCACCGGTTTTTCCCAGATTTGACTCGGAACGATTATCATGATTCCAAACCTGAAAGAATGGCTCGTCATCAAAAGATTTTTATCTAATTCCGAGGTAGTGGCTGCTGTAAATAGCTATTTCGAGGACTTGAAGTCATCCATATCTACTGAAGGCATTGCTAATTTGGAATAAGTGTTGTGAGCGAGTAGGAGACAACATAGAAGAAGTTATAAAAGTATTATTAAAAAGTCGACTACTAAATCGTGAAGATTCTATTACGAATGTGATTTTCTCATGGATACCATCACCAGATCTTGACTAAATTTATATAGGACAACCCCTTTGTAACAAAAATAGAATCATAGAAATCGGACAGGGTGGTAGAGAATTATCGCTGTACGTACATAAACAAATTAAGAGTTTGATGGTTTTCTCATGAACTCAATTATTAGATCCTAACAAAATGTATATATGGAAATCATAGAAATCTAACAACGTGGTAAAGAATTATCGCTGAACATACAAAAAAATATATATTCCGACGAATTTGAGAACCTCCTTCTTTTTAAGTCGGTTAAAAATAAAATCTTTTTTTAAGTTGTATTTTCTTTGTTAGTCCACGTAGTACTCGTTCGTACATTTCCTTATTTGATAATTCTGATAACACAAAGTAATCATTTCCTTATCAGATATTATTATTTGCGGACTTCACTTTATCAAAATATTTGTCGATTTAATATTAAAAAATTTCATGTTAATATGCAAAGATCTAAATTGCGTATATAATATTATATAGTATTAATATTAAAACGACTTGCCGATTTTTTTTTCTAATTATCTGATCGATAATAATGAAGAGAGTAAACAGATAAACTAAATACTAATCATAGTAGATGATAATTTTAATTTTAATCTCTTTGAAACAATCCACCTTCTCCATAAAGTATTAAATCTGCCCTCTTATACTAATGTTTGTGGGACTGATAGTATCTGACTAAGCTAGAGATAAAAAATATTTACTATGCTAATTCTATACATATAACTCCTCCCTTCCTAAGCTGAGAAAATCAGGGACTGATTCTTCGAGGTTTCTGGATTATCTTCTTTTCTTCTTACTTCTAATTCTATTTCTTCATTTTCTTTATTTGTAGATTTTCTTGCTTCTTTTTGATGAGGACATATCTTCAATTGTAGTAATTCTTTTCTTCTTTTCCATATTAAATAAATGACAAGGCATAAGATTATAATTATGATAATTGATATTGATTTAGTTTTATAAGGATTGTCTATTACTTCTTCTACTGGTTTTAAACTTTTAGCAATTTTACTTATTTCGTATAAATTTTCAAAATTGACTTTAGTTAAATTAGCTTTTTGAAATTGAAATGGTGTCTTCATATCTTCTATTTCGAATTTTGGTAAAATCAGAGGCGTTCCTTCTTGGATTTGGACGTCGTTAATGTAATTTTCTTCATTAGTTTCTATATTACACTTTTTTGGAATTTTAATTAAGACTGGTTTTTCAATTTTTAAATATTGATTGGATTCGCACGTTGAAAGTATTTTTTCAGGCTTTGAGGGCATAAATAGGACTTCGTCTCTTGTGATTTGTTGACTGATTGATTCTTTAATGCTTACATCTAAAAATTGGCAATTATTTGGATTATTTCCATCTACTACTTGAAGGGTGCAATCATCTTTAGTAATATAATTTTCTTGACAATAGTATACTTTTTCTACTGTTGGACATTCATCTTTTTCGAATTGAACTTCGGTTTTCTTCCGTGCCAAATAAGGGTAATTGGGGATAAACATTTTGTCATTTTGGATAATAGGATAAAGGTGATAAAATTCATAGGAAACAGGTTTCAAAATAGGAATATGAATAGCAAATATTAGTTTTGTTTTAGTAAATGTTACTTGTGTACCTAGAATTTGATAATATGAAAGAATATTTTGAAATTTGAGAATTTCATTTTCTTTATATAATTTCGATAAATATTGTAATAAATCTAAAATTTCTTCAATAGAAATTATTGAATTATGTAGTGTATTTAACTTTGAAAATGATATTGCATTTTCCAAATTATCAAGTAAAGTTATTATAGTTTGACAATCTAAATTAATTTGAGATAGTGCTCCTTGAAAGTTTACGAAAGTTTCTAAAGTTTGTATTTTCTTTGCTATTGAATATTGGAGTTTTTTAAGAGTATCAGTAAATGCTTGTTGATTTTTAAATAAAATTGTTATTGTCCGATTATAATGATCAATTAATTTTTTATAAAGTGACATTTATAAATTTGTTTCTGCAATGAGATTTTTCTGATTTTGTTGTAAATGATCTATAGCTTTATTATATCTTTCTTCATCATCTGAGTCTAAATTTCCAAATAACCATTTATTGAATTTTCCAAGACCATTGATTAAGCCTCTTTTATTTCTAATATAAGGATGAATATTTCCTAATTTTTTCTGAACAGTATTTATTAATATTTCAGTTCGTAATAAATTATTTTGAGCAAGACTATGATATGATATTTGATTGGTTATATTATCTACATGAATAATAAGATTTTTAAGTATTTCAAAATTTTTAGTTAATTGCTGAACTTGTTCAATTATAGAATTTATATCTATATAATGTAAAAATGTATGTTTACTATAAATTACTTTTGATGTTCCCAATTTTATAGGTAATAATAAATTTTCAAGTGGAGTTATTTGTATATCTTCTTGTGCATTAATTTGTTCTATTACTAGAAGTACTAGGCAGATTATCATTATTTTTGTCCCCATTTTCGTCTTGTTTCTGCAACAATAAATTTGAATTAGTTTTTGAACCTTTAGGTTTTTTAATTATACTTTTGTGATAAGTCCCTTTGTTAGTTTTTAATAAAATACCTTTATTTTTAATAACCTTAGTTTTCTTATAAACTGGAGAAGCTTTATTTCTTAATTTAGTTTTTATGTATGCAGTGCTTGGTTCCTCATAATTAGTTGGTTCTGATCGATTTTCATTTCTATTTTTTATTACTTTTTGTTTAATTGTTTCGTTTTTATCTTTTATGTCTTCATATAATTTTTTACTAATTTGTTTATGATTTTGTACGTAATTTGAAATTATAAGGTGATCATTTAAATCAAAAGGATCTTCATTATTAATATGTCCTTTAATTATTTGATAAGGAGTGAATTTTGTTACGGAATGTACGGAATTATTATAGGCTAATATAGCATGTTTTATTAATTGATCAGAGGTTAGATCATTATTTTCTTCTTTGAGACATCTAAAATGTTCAATTAAACTTGAATGAAAACGTTCTACAGGTGAATTTGAATTGCTATTTTTAGCAGTAGTATAATGAAGTTCAATATGATGTAATTTACAAAAATCTTCTAAATCATAATTTTTGAATTCAGTGCCACTATCTGTTGTAATTTTTTGAGGTAATCCATGATGGGTTACAAAATTTAATAAATTATCTACTACATTTATTCCTGTTATACTTTTCATAGGATATGCCTGACCATATCTTGAAAATGAATCAATAATAGTTAAATATGATTGATTAGAAATTTTAAATACGTCAATATGTACATGTTCAAATGGTTTTGTGGCTGTAAGCGTTAAATTAAATTTTACTATTGGAGGATTTCTATCATATTTATTTTTTTTGACAATTTTCACAATTATTTATATAATATTTAATATCTTCCATCATTTTTGGCCAATAATATCTAGAACTTAAGGCTGTATTTACTTCATTAATGCCTCTATGTCCCGATTTATAAATATGGTAATATTCAATTTTAGTTTTTTGTTCATCAGTTGTTAAAATGTCTGTCAAAAATTTTGTACAATGTATAAATTTAAATGCAGAATGTTTAAAATTATTTTGCACTGTAGTTATAAATGTTTCAGGTAAATTTTGATTTTTAAAATATAAGGCATATGTTACTTTTGGATCAATATAATTTTTAACAAAGTTAATAATTTGTTCTTCTAAATTAATTTTGGATAAGGTTACGTATATTCTAGAGTTTTCAAAAATCTTTTCTATTCTTACTTGATTATTTATTGATTCTCTGATTACAATTGGAGGTAATAAAAGTTTGATTTTTATAAGAGTTTAAACTACGTTCCGAAATATGAATTAATTAAAATTATGTTTATTTCTATTAAAACTAAATTATTAATGTTCAGTTTTTAAATCTTACTCTTTTCCTATCCGAGTTTGTAAAGTTTTTAAATTTTATTCTCTTTCGATAACATTTGTAGGTTCCAGTGTTTTTCATTTTGGTTCTAATACTATTTGATGATAAAAATTTATTTTTTTTATTACGAATATTTGCTCGATTTATTTTAATATCATTATGCAATAATGAACATTCTTTTTTATTATATGAATTTATTTTAGGAAGTTTCTCATCATCAAGTTCATCTATTATATTTTGAGGTGATTCATAGTTTGTCAAATTATTCTTTGAATTAATATCGTTTTGCAAATTATTATTATTATTATTAGTAGTAGTAGTTTCCAATTCAAAAAGATTATATAGGTTTGTTTCTTGACAAATATCTTCTACGGATTTCGTTACCTTTATTTTTCCTTTAGAGTTCATATGACTCGTTCTATTTAATTTTGAAATATTTGCTTTACTTTCTTTACTTTTCGATTTTTTTGTTTTTTCAAATTTAGTTTTAAAACATTCAGATTTGTATAGTTCATGTTCAGAATTTTGGAATTGTTTAGCTAAAATAGGATTATTTAATTTAATAGAAATACTTTTATCTGTATTATTTTGAGCTTCAATTAAAGCAAATCCGTTTTTTGCGGTTGTTATCATTCGAGGTAAAT